TTTGTTGTCATGTCTACACTTTTATTTCTGATTTTATTTGAGTCTTTCCTTTTTTCTTAGTCTAGCTATATGACTTTCGTTTTTATTGATCTTTCAAAAAGCTAAGTTTTAGTTTCATTGATTTTTTCTATTGTTTTTCTCTTCTGTTTTGTGTATTCTTGCTCTAATCATTATCATTTCCTTCCTTTCCTAAATCTGAGCTTAGACTGCTCTTCTATTTGTAAGTTCTTGAGTGTAAGTTTACATTCTTTATTTGAGATCTTCTTCTTTTTTATTTTTTTTAATTTTTTTTTACATTTTTATTGATTCATAATCATTTTACAGTGTTGTGTCAAATTCCAGTGTTCAGTACAATTTTTCAGTCATACATGGACATATACACACTCATTGTCACATTTTTTTCTCTGTGATTTATCATAACATTTTGTGTATATTTCCCTGTGCTATACAGTGTAATCTTGTTTATCTGTTCTACAATTTTGAAATCCCAGTCTATCCCTTCCCACCCTCTACCCCCCCCCCCCCCCGGTAACCACAAGTCTGTATTCTCTGTCCATGAGTCCATTTCTGTCCTGTATTTATGCTTTGTTTTTGTTTGTTTGTTTGTTTCTGTTTTTTAGATTCCACATATGAGCGATCTCATATGGTATTTTTCTTTCTCTTTCTGGCTTACTTCACTTAGAATGACATTCTCTAGGAGCATCCATGTTGCTGCAAATGGCATTATGTTGTCGGTTTTTATGGCTGAGTAGTATTCCATTGTATAAATATACCACATCTTCTTTTTAAATGTGGGTGTTTATCCCTGTAATGTTTCCTCCTAAAATTGCTTTTTGCATGCCATCAGTTTCGATCTATTGTGTTTTCATTTGTCTTAATATATTTTCCACTTCCTCACTTAATTTCTTCTTTGATCCACTATATTTTCAAGATGATTTATTTAATTTCCTCCTATTTTTGAACTCCTCAGGTTTTCTCCTGCTATTAATTTCTATTATTCCACTATGGTCAGAAAATATGCACGGTTCGATATTAATCTTCTTAATTTTGTTTTATGACCTAACATGTGATCTATCCTGGAGAATGTTTCATGTACACTTGAGAAAATGTATACCCTGCTGTTTTTAGTGGATGTCTTGCATGTGTCCATCATGTCAATGTGGTATATACTGTTCAGTCCCTCTATTTCCTTGTAGATGTCCTTTTTATTATTGAAAGTGGGTTATTGAAATCCTCTATTTCATTATTTTGGTCAGTATCTCTCAGCCAATGTTTGTTTCATGTATTTGGATGCTCTGATATTGGGTGCAAATGTATTCATAGTTGCTACCTATATATAGGCAAATAAATTATTTTATTATTATATAATACCCTTTTTCTCTTTGGATTCTTTTTTCTTTTCTTTTCTTTTTTTTTTTTTTTTTTGAGCAAAGGTAGATTTATTTAGAGAGATACATTAAAAGGGCAAGAGAAAGGCCATGAGGTGTGGCCATGAGGTGTGAGATTAAAGTAGATACACACTCCATAAACAGAATGTGGGCAGTCTTCATAGAGGAGGCAGAGAGAGAGAGGGGCAGCCATGAGGCCACGAGGCACCATGTTGCCAGTTTTTAATGGGCTCATGTGCTTAAAGTGGAAGGACCAGTCTAACTACCCTGGGGAAGAGGCTAGGACTCCCGGGAAGTTGGCCATTTCCCACTCTTTGGCCTTTTGTGGCTAGCCTTGGGACTGTCATGGCCTCTGTGGGCATGTTATTTACCATGCTAATGTTACAGTGAGCATATAATGAAGCTCAAGGTCTACTAGAAGTCAAACCTCCCTCTTTGAATGTGCTTTAATTTAAAGACTATTCTGTATGATATAAGTATGACCATTCTTGCTCTTTTGGGTTCCCATTTGCCTAGAATATCTTTTTCCATTCTATGACTTTCATTAATTGTGTGTCATTAAATCTCAAGTGAGTCTCTTATAGACAGTACAAACTGTGCCCGTTTCTCTTAGTTCTGTCTGCCAAGCAGCTGCCACTTTCTGTCCCCAGTGACCTCCCAGCTAGAGATGGGTTGTCCCAGCACGAAGGTGCCTTTCTTCCTTTGCCACTCCCTCCCTGTGGGACTGGTCCCACACCAATCTTTTTTTATTTTTCCTTCCTTTTTTTTCTCCTACAGGTTATTGTGAGGAATCTTCCTATATTTCGAAGGAAGAGACTCTACCAAAGTTCAGTAGGTGTTCTGCGTGATTCAGTGGGTCTGCAGATTTAATTCTTGGTGGATCTGTGGGAGGGCGTGAGCTGTGAGTCCCTCTACTCCACCATCTTGGCTCTCTCCAAAGTCGTATGTTCTTAGTGATTGTTGTGGTCACTTCGCAGAAACAAGGAGGGACCTCCACCCAAAATTTGGTTCAGTTATTGATACTGATGATGCGCTCACGTGTGCGCCCGCGTGCGCGCGCGCGCACACACACACAAGAGGATAAAAAGTTTTGTTACTCACATAAAGAGATTTTAACGTCCCAAATGGATTGAGTGAGTAGGGAAGGGGAACTGGCTTGTGCTTTTTGTAGTGGTTAGGGAGAAGTGTTAGGACGAGGCCTTCTATTTACAGCATGAATTTCCCAAGGTGCCAAGGGCGGGCTTCTTATCAGCATGCCCAGATGTCAGCAGGAGAAGAGGGAAGGTGAAGCTTAAAGGCTGTCAGCACTCAGAAACCAAAAATGGTGTCACACTCCATTACAGTGGCTTTCTGCCTCCTTGTCCTGTCACTTACTGAGGGATAGATACTGAAATATCTGTCTGTCGGTTTGTTTGTTTCTCTTCTCAGTTCTCTTTTCCTCATGTAGTTTTAAAGTTGTTGTTGGGGGTAGGAACAGTTCGAATCATGTTTTCTCAGTGAGTCGACCTGCTTTCATTATGAAATGGTATCTTCGCTCTCGCAATAAGCTTTGCTCTGAAATCCGCATTGTGTGACTCCAGCTTCCTGTTAAATGATGTTAGGATGATATATCTTGATCCATCCTTTTACCTAAACCTATGTGTCTTTATATGTAAAGTATGTTTATTGTACACAGCATATAATTGGGTCTTTTTTAGACGAGATCAGACACGTTTAGGGTGGTAGGGCCATAGTAATTGGGTCTTTTTAAATCCAGTGTGACAATTTCTTTTAATCAAGGTGACCAGACCATTTAGACACCATTACAGAATTGTAGCTATTGATATAGTTATGGTCAAGTCTGTCATCTTCTTGTTTGATTTTTATTTATCTCATCAGTTCTTTGTTCCCTTTTTTCTCTTTTCTACAATTCTGTCCACTTGAGTTTCTAAACTGAAAGCTCTGTGGCCCTCAGCACTGGTGCACGGACCAGTCCCAGGCAGCTGGCTGAGTCTGTTCACCAATGGGTGCTGTCCCTCCAGTCCATTGATGCTAATGCTTTAGGGTTGGAGGGGGTGATTTCCCATCTCCCCACGAGTTCACCTGGGGCCCAGCAGGAGTAGTGGGCAATTCCTTCTAGTTTTCTGCCACAAATATGGCTCTATCTCCCCTCCCACCTTGTTTCTGTACATACATACATTTGGTATGCACTTAATTTTAGCTTTAAAATATGTGTGTCCCAGTAGAGACAAGTATGGACAGTTTCCATCTTATAAACAGATTGTGTACTAGAATTATTTAGAAAGCCACGTTATGGGCTGAATGTTCGTCCCCCCAACCCCAAAGCTGGTTTTGCAACTCTAATCTCCAGTGTATCTGTGGATAGGGCCTTTGTGGACAAAATTAAGACTAAATGAGATCATAAGGGCGGGGCCCTGATAGGATTAGTGTGCTTATAAGAAGAGGAAGAGAAAACAGAGCTCATTCCTTCTCTCTCCACACGGACACAAAGAGCTCTGTGGAGACATGTTGAGATGACAACACCCAGACACCGAGAAAAGAGGCCTCAGGATGAAACCTACCTGCCAGCACCTTGATCCTCGTCTCCCAGCCTCCCGGACTGGGAGAAATAAATATCTGTTGTTTAAGGCACCCCGTCTGTGGTGTGCTATGTCTGGGGACACCTGTGACAACTACGATGCTCTACACAGCATCTGTGTGCTCCAGTGGTGACACATCCCAGGAGCCGCTGCTCCTGCCCTGCGTTCATCACTAAACTGCAGTCAGAGGTTAAGGAAAATAAAGATGCAGGTTCTCCACCCCAGCATGTGGGACCCCCCCCCCCCCCCGCCGAATGCTACCCGAGGCCTCGGGTCCCAGTGTCAGCCTCCGTTCCCACTGGCCAGGTTGCATCTTTGTTACCCTGTGAGGCCACTAGCAGGTTTCCTGTCTTTCCTACTGTGCTTTGGACACCGTACCATGGTGGTGATGCAGCCCTGTTAGGACCAGCCACCGGCCATAGCCAGGGGTCTCCGACCCCAAGGCTGGCTCCTCCCAGTGACACACATGGATTCTAGAGGAAGGGCCATTTCAGGTCACTGTGGATGCCCGTCCTGTGCATGGGGGATGGATGGTGAGCCCTCAAGACAGAGTGGGGGGACCCAAGGGTCAGCGAAACGAATGGACCTGTGTGCCCAAGGCCCAAGCCTCTGAGCCAAGGGACCATCACCAGAGATGGTCACCATGGTCAGCCTCCAAGGGTCTGATGCCTCATGGGCCTGGAATAGAATGGGGGCTGCCCTGGGTGTGAAGGGGCAGAACAGGTGAAAACAGGGGCCAGGCCACCTGAGATCCAGCTGCCTCAGCGGCTTGTCTGAGAGGTCACCTTATTACACATTTGACCCACCCCAGCTGCTATCCCAACACAAGGACCCCGAGCTACCAGGGCCACTGTAAAGCCCAGTATGAAGTGTCATCTCCGCATTCGGGGCCCCTCAGCTAAGGGTACCCACCCCACGTCCCGGCCCGCTGTGTCATCCTGGGAGTTTCGCCGACGTCCTCATTTGCTCACCACCATCTCGGGTCACCTGCCTGTCTCGGGGTCACCAGAAAGGAGAGTTTGAAAAACCAAAGTCCTGTTTCCCCCAAAATATTTTTTATTCTTGCTTACATTTGTGTTTCCAATTGTGAATAAAAAATGCTTAGAAAGTGGTTACAAAACATCGTGAACCGGACACGAGGCGTGGGCTCGCCTTCTTGGCGTGAGATGACACGGGGCCTGGCGTCTGGGTCGGCCTGCCTGGGCTCAGTCGGGCTTCTCACTTTCAGAATCTAGAAAACAAAACCGCCACAGCTCATTACAGGCCCAATGCGGTCACATGAGGCCCTGGAAGTGGCCTTCCTCGGAGGGCCAGGCCGCCTGACCACGACCCACGCGCTACGCAGACAGACCCCCCCAGGCTGCCTCTGCCATCTGACTACCTTCCCTGCTGAGCAGCCGCCCGACCGGGCAGGGCCTCCCAGTGCCTGCAACCCTGGAGAGCCAGGTGCCTCTGGCTCCCAGGGCACAGCACGAAGAGCAGCAGGCCAAGATGCCCCTGCCCCTGACTCAGGGCCAGCCCTGGGACAGGGCCCGCAAGTGGCCTGAGGCACAGAGCCTGACTGCATCTCAGTGGGGACGTAGGGCGAACAAACCAGGAGGCCACCCAAGCTGGGCGGGGCAGGAGGCACCACGAAGCCCAGCTTGAACACGAGGCCATCAAGGCTGTGCTGAGTTCCGGAGGGCCTCCCCAGACCACAGCCCTGCACCTGTAGGACAGCAGAGCCCCTCAGGTGACCCCTGGGCAGGTGGCCCCAGCCCCACCCAGCTCTGTCCACAGTGAGTCACGCCAACCTAGCTTTCTGTGAGACAGCCAACATGGACAGGGGTCAGAGACAGTGTTGAGTTGGCCACGAGACTCACACACTCCATAGGGCAGAGCCCACTGCACATCTAAATACAGGTCAAGTTCAGAGTTTGAAAGCCGAGTGAATAGGCAGACCTAGGCCCGGAGCCAGCGGAGCTGGCAGGGGGGCTCCGCCCAGTGGCCCACCCCCGTCCTCTGAGCCAGGCTGGCTCAGTGTCAGTCACACCTGGCTCCTGCCAGGAAGCCAGCATCTCCTGCTTAGCGCCCAGGCCCCTCGTGGCCACCCTGCTCTCCTGGGCAAGCTGGTGACCGCGAGCGTGGGGCTGAGACTGCAGCTGTGCCCAGGACAGGGCAGTGCTGCCTGCCAGCGCTACCCACCCCTGTCCTCCCTGCAGGCTGGCTGGTTCAGCTCTTACAGGGACAGAAGGTAAGAAAAAGAGGTTGTGCCACACTGTTTTCAAGCAAAAATCTTTATTTTTCTCCATATATACAGTCTCTTGGGGATTCTGTACCACTGACCATTCACGTACAAGGCCAGGACCCCAAACCTCACGTCCGGTACAGAAGGGGGGGGGCGGGGGAGGGCAGCCTCCACCACCCTCAGGAACCAGGAACACATGACTCCCAACCAAAGGGCTGAGGGGCACATTACAGAGGACAGAAATCTCTTACTATAGCGTCGTGCCCTGGCAGAAGACTCTGCATAATCACCCAGAAAATTCAATTCTAACTGAATTGATGGAATAATATATATTTAAACCAAAATAATTTAGCTAGTTCTAGTGAAGTCCCGAAAGTACAGCAGAACTGTACAATGCACAGCTGGGCAGCCCAGCCCGCTGCCTCCCAGTGGGAAATGTGAAGCGTCTCGGCCAGTGGGGAGTGGGGCCTTCAGCTCCCTCCAAGGGCTGTTTGGTGGATGGGTCCCACTGAAATCTCCAGGAGAGGGACCCTCCCACACGCAGCAGGGCGGCCTCGAGGCCTGGAGAACAGGCTGGGGGCCAGAGGTGGGCGGGGCAGCCCGCGAGCAGGTGGCAAAGCTAGGCCCAGCTGGCCACAGGACCTCAGTGCAAACGACGGGAAAGGAGGGCAGGCCGGTAGGAGGGCCGGCAGGCCCCCGAGCAGAAGGGGGCCGTGCTGAGTCTGCAGAGCGGGTGGCCTGCCTGTGCTCCCGCGCTGGACACTTATCTTTACCTCCCCCTACACTCACGGCAGCCCTGCAGGCTTTGGGTCGTGAGGGCGTGTCTGCTTACCTAGCAGGTTGCATACAGCCAAACACAGACGCTGACATTCCTTACTAAGACACCAGCTACCATCAGCAAGTACGGCCCCGATCACCATGCATCCTGGGCAGCTCGCTGGCAGCGCCCACGACGCCGCAGGTGACAGCGCGTATGCATCTGTTTGCTATCAGTGACCATACACAGCCGGAGAGACCTTGTTTTATGAATACAAAGGAACGCTCCCCCAGCATTTGCAACTCTTCAATATTCAAGGTCACTAGTTCAATTTTTTTTTTAAAAGCATGTACAACAGAAAAGTAAAGGTCAGACTTTAGCTTCAGATTTGGAAACCATTCATATCTCTGCAACTTAAAATGGGAAATAGAGATATTAACACACAAGCCGACTGTAAACAAAATACACCTTTTCTGATACATAATTTTTTAAGAACATCTCTTTCCATCAGGGAACGGAAAAGCTGGAATTCAAGGCACTGTACTTCTGCAGGGTGATTACGAAGTTCTAACCATTGATTCAAGTACAGGAAGTGAGTGCAAAGGCAGCAAGTGTGGAGCTCAGGAACTGAAGAGGGAAGAGTCTGTAGCAATAGGGGAAGTAAGGATTGCCACCCATGTGCCACCCGCCCCGGCTGGGCGCCCACGGCAAGCAGGGCAAGACTCGGAGGCCAAACCATAACCCGACTCCTCCGGGCAGCTCGTTCAGGGTCATTCCATCTGGCAAGCGGTAAGACAGAGAGCTACGTGATCCGCAGCCTGGGGCCGGGCGTGCTGACCGTGGGCGGCCGCAAGAACACGGGGAGCGCTGGTGCGCCCGCCGCACCCAAGCCTGGCCCCCCAGTGGGGCTCCGGCTGCCTGCCTGGGCTGCCCAGGGCCCCCAGGACACTGGAGCTGGGAGCAGGTTTCCATACTGGCCCAAAGGCAGGGCATAGGGCGGGGCTGGGAGGCAGGAGAGAGCAGTACCTGGCATGGGCACAGGCAGGGCTGGGGCAGCTCCAGGAATGACCGCGGTGGGTAGAGGACTGGGCGCCGGGGCCAGGCATGGCGTCCCCACTGCTGTTCGAGGTGTGCTCATCTACAAAACAAGAAGAGGAAGACACGTGGCTTCTACCAGCTGGCTTCCCTAAGTGGCCCTGGGGCTCCCTGCAGTTTTTCCATCCTCAAGAAAGCGCAGTCTCGGGACCCGCCACGGAGCACCTTTTAATGGGACACCAAAGTAAAAGTGCAGAGTTGGGAAGCAGCCACCCTCCCTCCCTTACTCTGCAAAGCTACAGCCCGGCCACTCTGGGCCACATGCCCTGACTGTTCACAGGCCAGAGCAGGCTTCAGAGCAGACCCCATAGAACCTGAACCCTGAAGTCACAGTGAGGGGACCACAGACCTCAACCCAAAGGCCTCCTGTTTGACTGGTCAGTGCCATCATAGAAGGACCACAACAGCTGGGAGCTGTGCAGGGTTATGTGCCCAGAGCCCAGGGCTCAGTGGCAGGACAGCCCCTCTGCTCTTCGCACCCGAGGTACAACCCCAGAGGAAAAACAGCACAAGGAATGAGAAATGAGCTGTAATGGTGAGACCGGAATGGCCATGATGCAGAAACCTGCTGAGCTACTGCAAGAAAGGAGGGTATGGACCAACAGTCTTCAAACCCTGGACACAATGTGGGCAGATCTAACCAAGCAACTGTAAGAAAGCTAAAACATCAGAGCCAAGTGAGGTTTGCCCCAGGAATGCAACATTGCTGCCCCAGAAGAAATCACTGCACCTCACTGTAATTATACCCCGCAAGGGAGAACCCCATGTGGTGCTCCCCACAGATGCAGGAAAAGTGTCCGACCAGTTCTACACTCATTCATGGAAAGGACAACAACCGAAGCTGGAGAGTGCCTCCTCCATCCGGAAGGGCCTCTGCAGAACCCGCAGCCAACCCTGTGCTGATGGTGCAATGCCAAACCTACTTCCCCCATCATTCTCCCTGCCCTAGAACACTGTTCAGAAAGTTCCAACCAATAATAAGAACAAGAATTAGTGGTATAGACTGGAAAAGAAAAAGGAAAACCAACCTTACTTGCAGATGACAAGATCGTGTACGAAGAAAACCCAAAAGAGCAGACAAACCAACTTCTAGAACTGAGAAGCAAATTTAGCAAGATTGCAGGACATAAGGTAAAGAAATCGACCATATTTCTATATACTAGCAACACACAACTGTAAAGTGAAATTAAAAATTAAAAAATTTACAACCACGTTCCAAAATATCAACTATCTTGGGGTAAATTAAAGAAAGATGTGTAACACCTTTACACTGAAAACCACAAAATGCTACTGAGAGAAAATTAAAAAGACATAAACAAAGAAATGTCATGTTAATAGAAAGACTTACTACAGTTAATGTATCAAATCTTACCCAGTTGATCAACAGACTCAATACAATCTGAAACAAAATCTCATACAGCTAGTTCATAGAAATAAATGGGCTGTTTCTAAAATGTAGATAGAGATACTAAAGACCTAGAAAAATCAAGAAATTCTTGGGAAGGGACAAATTAGAAGTATGGAATTAACAGTTACAAACTATACATAAAATAGATAAGCAATAAGGACTTACTATATAACATAGGGAATTATATTCAATATACTATAATAAACTATAACGGAATATAGCTTGCAAAAAAAAAAAGACCACTAGCTACGCCTTCAGCAAACAAAAATCAGCAAATGCCAGGGAAGGAGAGAATCTGTTTTCCGGAGCTATCATTTATAATATTCAGATGTCCAGTTTTCAACAAGAAATCATAAACCTTTACAAAGAAAATGGAAGGTATGATCCATACAAAGGGGAAAAAAAGGACAATTTAACAGAAACTGTCCTTGAAGAAGTCTAGATACCACACATAGAAAATAAAAACTTTAAGTCAACTGTTTTAAACATGTTCAAAGAGTTAAAGGAAATCATGAACAAAAAAAGAAGCCAGGAAAACGACACATGGACAACATGGGAATATCAATAAAGAGACAAGCAATAGTATCTTATGGTGGAAAAGAATATGAAAATGAATATATGTATGTTCATGTATGTCTGAAGCATTATGCTGTACACCAGAAATTGATAAAACACTGTAAATTGACTGTACTTCAATAAATATATATGTATACAAAAAAGAGAGATAAGTAATAAAAGGAGCCAAATATAACAGCTGAAAAGTATAACAACCAAAATTAAAGTTCCACTAGAGGGGCTCACAACAACAGATTTGAGTAGGCAGAGTAAAGAATCAGCAAACTTGAGGCCATACAGTTGAAATGATCAAGGCTGAGGAGCAGAAAGAAAAGAAAAAAGAATGAAGAAAAGGAAAATGTACAGAGCCTAAGGGATCTGTGGTATACCAAGGAGAAGAGACAGGGGAAAAAAAATACTTCAAGTGCAGAAAGAAAAGACTGTCAACCAAGATTCTACATCTAGCAAAATGATCCTTCACGAAGAAGGAGAAATTAAGACACATGGATAAATAAAAACCAAGAGAAGTTGTTACTAAAAGATTTGCCCCACAAGAAATGCTTAAGGGAGTCCTTCAGGCTGAAATCAAAGAATAGACAGTAATTCAAAGCTAAGTGAAGAAATAAAAAGGGAACTACATAGTTAAATGCATAAGCCAATAATATGGTCCTCTTGGTTTTAATTCTTTTTCCCCTATATGAGTTAAAAGGCAAAAGCAATATATAATAATTATAAACCTATGCTAATGGGCGCCCAATGTCCAAAGATGCAATATGTGACAAAAACAACACAGAGGAGGAGGGACAGAAATGTAAAGGAACAGAGTGTTTGAAACAAAGCTGACATTATAGGTTGTTATAAGTTTAAGGTTTTAATTGTAAGCCTTAAGTTAACCAATAAGAAAATAACAAAAACATACACAGAAAAGTAAAAAGGAAGTGAATCAAAATTATACACTACAAAAAACTCTAAAATTTTTGAAAAGACAATAATGAAGGAATTGAGGGGAAAAAAACCCTTTAAGACATACAGAAAACAAACAGCTAAACAGCAGAAGTCCTTTATAATCCATTAATACTTTAAATGTAAATGGACTGACCTCTCCAATTAATAGGCAGAGATTGGCAGAGTGAGAAAAAAAAGCATAGTTGATCTACAGAGCTGAAGAACACAATAACTAAAATGAAAAACACACTAGAAGGAATTAACAGTAGACTAGGTAATACAGAAGAATGCATAAGTGATCTGGAAGACAGAATAATAGAAATCACCCAATCAGTACAGTAAAAAGAAACAGAAATGTAAATGAGAACAGTTTAAGGGACTTCTAGGACAATATGAAGCATGCTAACATTCAAAATATAGGGGTTCCACCCTCCTACACTGCTGGTGGGA